CCTGCATGATAAATTTCTTTTTTCTTTTCCCTGGTCTCATCTTCTTTGCTTGTTCATTTTTTTCCACATCATTTTTAAGTGCTGGAAATTTCAAAGCTTGGTGGTAGGCCCTCTTTTTACTCTACTTTCTTCCCAGCTATGTCCTTGTGTCCAGCTTCAAACAGTCCATAAAAAACATTGGCAGTTATCACCATTATTTATTTTTAATTAATTAATTAATTAATTAATAGGTACCAGGGATCAAACTTGGGGCCTTGTGCTTGTGAGGCAGGCGGTGGCACTCCTGAGCTAAATCCTGGCCCTATTTATTTATTTTTTAAAGAGACATGAAAAAGATTTATTGGAGGTAGATATAGGATATACTCAAGAGCGGAATACAGGTGCTCAGAGAAATAGGGCACCTATTACCATATTTAACCTTTGTCTTCCTTAGATAACTTTTGGGAAGACCCAAGGTAATATATTTGAAATTTGAGGTGTTTCTTTTTTAAAAGAAAGATGGTACTATATAATTTACTTATATTTTATTATTCCATTGAAATTAATGTGGCTCTAAAATACAAAAAACCCAATCATATTAATCACATAAAATATATTTTAATAAAAATGGTGATATGGTATATTTAAAATTACTATCTTTTGAATTAGTAACATTGAGAGTATTCATAGTCAATAGTGTTAAAATGCTGCACGTGAAGCCATTTCCTGGCACTGAACAAAATGATGATGACACCAATGACAATAACGAATATAGCATAGTACTAATAGAACTAGCTTCTATATTTACAGTTTTCTGTTCCTTAACTTTGACACGTTCTCATACTGCATGATCTCATATCCCGAAAGAAAGAAATAGACCTCTGGAGGAACTGATAATTACCAGCCAGTATGTATATACACACACACACACACTCTCTCTCTCTCTCTCTCTCTCTCCCTCTCTCCCTCTCTCCCTCTCTCCCTCTCTCCCTCTCTCCCTCTCTCCTCCTCCAAAAGTAAAGCAGAAACATCAACAACAACAAAAACAACCCAAGGACAGAGTAATCCTGTGGTTATTTCCACAGCAAGCAGTTGGGATTTTATAAATGTAACAATAAAGTGGGAAATTTAGAAAATGAAAAGGTCTTAGTTCATTCTTTCTAGTGTGGCATGGCATGCTGTGATTTTCTTCTTGGTGTGTAACATTCAAATGACTGAAGACCTTAAGTTGTCTTTTGGGAAATACTTACCATTTAGTTAATTAAAATCCTTTTGCCCTTTAACGTTTGCTCCCAAAACAGCTTTGATTTCTTTTTTGGAGACAGATACCAGTCATGCTGGTTGCTTGCTATTACCGGGCACAGGGGATCTTCTGTCAAAGGGGCCACGTGCCTGGCACAGAATCAGTTGAGCTGAAAGTTGTGGCTTCTCTGGCAGAGGTCTAAGCAGAGTGGTACAGATCGCTTATGATGAGGGTGGTTGGAGTGGTGTTTTAGGTTGCCCAAGTGACTCTTCCAGTTTGGATCCTGACTAGCTGGGAAAATACACTTCTTTCGATGGCCTTAGTGAAGCCTTTTGATCAGTAACTATTTCCTTAGAAGTTTAAGAACAAGATAAACAATGTCTGTAAGCTTTTTGCTTTTTATCACATACAGAATAGAATATTAGAATTTATTTTCATATCAAATTCACACTTGTCATATGAGTAGGCGATTTCTGTCCTAGTTATGAAAGTATCGGTTATTTTCCATATTGTTAATAATACTGTTAAGCAAATACAAGTTTTCTATGTGTGCAGCAATATTCTAGGCCCTGGGGGTATTTATTAGTAAGTCATAATCTCAGCATAGAAAGAGTCTGCTTGGGGATTGAGCTGTCAAAGATAATTATAAGCTCATTGTGTTGGTGCACATCTGTAATCCCAGCACTCTTGAAGGCTCAGGCAGGAGGATTGCATGCTTGACTTGGTGACTTAGTGAGACTCTGTCTCAAAGTAAAAAGGGCTGGAGATGAAGCTCAGTGTGAAGACCCTGAGTTCAATCCCCAGTACTGCAAAAGTAAAATTAAAAACAGAACAACTGTAAAATGCAATGTGTTGTAGTCAGTGATCAGAAACACAGGTGGTAGTGGATTTACTGTTGCTCAGATGGGCAGCCCAATTTAGTCAGGCTTCATAGAGAAGGTGCTGTGTAGCTAAACTTTTTTGATGCCATGTGGAAGCTCTTAAGTGGGAAAGTGCATTCCAGGCAGAGAAAAGGGCTTGTATATATGTGTGAAGAAATATAAAAGTGTCACACATTTAGAGAATGGTTAAAAATTGTTATGAGAGCTGAGGATTTAGCTCAGTGGTTCCATTGCCTGCCTTGCAAGCGCAAGGACCCAAGTTCGATCCCCAGTACTAAAAAAAAAAAATTGTTGTGAGAGTGGTTTATAATAGCTAGTAGCAATATGCGTGGCAGTCATTCCCACTGCTATGCCCACATTAAATTGCATAATCCTCATAACAGTTCTAAGATATAAAATGTTATAATTCCCATTTTAAAGATGAGGCAATGAAGGCAGAAGGAAGTTAGATAATTTACACTAGGTCTTGTGGCTATTAAGTTTCACAGCTGGTATTTGAATTCAGACTTTTTTTTCAGTACTGGGGATTGGACCTGGGGATGCTGTGTCACTGAACTACTCTCCCAGCACTTTTTATATATTTTTTCATTTTGGGACAGAGCCTCCTTAAGTTGCTTAGATTGATCTTGAACTTGCAACCCTCCTCCCTCAGCTTCCTGAGTAACTGAAATTACAGATGGGTGCTACCACGATGGGATGAATTCAGACTTTCTGACTAATGTTCTAAATTAGGATTCAGCAAACTATAGCCTATAGGCTAACTCTAGCTTGCTAATTGTTTGTAAAACTTGCAAGTTTAGTTGGTTTTTGCATTTTTAATTAGTTTAGAAAATCAAAGTATAATACTTTCTAACATGTGAAACTGGCATGAAATTCAAATTTTGGTGTTCATAAAGTTTTCATAAACAAATGAAACATTGATTTGTTTAATATTGTCTATGGAAGAGGTGAATGTTTGTGAGAACCTGTGACATAGGCCTAAAATACTATTTGTCTCTTTACAGAGAAAATTTTACCTATCCCTGCTGTAACTCAGCATGCTACATTGTACCACATTACATTTTGCTTTATTAAATAATGTAAATAACAGCATGTTCATAATAATACTTGAATTTATTGCCTTTTTAAAAATCTGTCTTTATCTTTCTCTGTGTCCTTATATCAACCCTAAAATAAAAGGAAGATTAAGTTTGGTGCTTTCCATGGTACAGCCAGGAAACTTAGTTGGGCTGTGATATCAACGTCAGACTCTTGCCTGTACAGCATCTTCTAATGTCCCCATCCCGCTCTGAAATTTGCCCTTTACCTCTGTCCTAGATAGACAGCTGCTCAGAGTTTGGGCTTGAGGCCACTCCACAAATAAGACAGTTGAAATTGAAAAAACAAGGTAACACACACTCTTTGCTTAACCTTGAACACCTTTTCAGCAACATCTGAAATTCTGTCTTGGGTGAAGAGTTCTAAGAGGCTTGGATTTGATTGCAGAAAAGTAAGCACCTACCATTGAAAGAGACGGGGGTGCTTCTCGTCTCATGTCCACAAAGGGATGACTTTATGGAGCATCGTCAGGCTCTGTGGAATCTTTGCCTTAAAAGTGAATCTTTTTCAAGTTTTCACCTGTCCATTCTGCTTTTAGAGCCCTTTTGCTACTCCTGATTTTTTTTTTTTTTCTGGGCTTGAGAATACCCTCTTTCATCAATTAAACCACAGAAGCTTCCCATTACCTCAGCACTACCACTCAGCAGGTTGGGGAGAGTAGAGTCTAACTCTTCTGTAGGACAAAGCAGTTTCAGGATTGAACTATAGGCCATGTTTCTTATATTACTGAGCTTGTTACTTTTATAAGTTAAAAAAAAATCAGTTTTTGTTTAGATAGGTTTCCAAAGTCCCCTCTCACTCCCTCCTCCTTCCTTAGCCATTTTTATTTTGAACAGAGTCTTGCTAAGTTTCCCAGGCTGACCTTGATCTTGGAATCCTCTTGCCTCAGTCTTTCAATTAGCTGGTATTACAGGTGTGTGCTGCCACACCTGACTCCCAAAGTCTTAATTTATATTGTATTTTCTTTCAGTCTCAGAGGTGAATTTATGTTGCCAGATTTGCCACCTTGGTTATGTCCTGATGTGGACTGTTAAGGCCCAACAGAAACAAGATGTTGCATTAAGAGGTGTCTGCTACATTTTTGCTCATAGTCAGCATTTCCTTGGCCACAGATAGTACTGAGATCAGAGCAGTGTAGAAAAACATTTCATTTGCTCCAGAGTCAACTCAGGCGCCTATGGTGATGGCTGGTAGGTGTAGACGTTTGTCAGAACTCGAGTGAATGTATATTTTAAATTTGTGCTTTTCACTGTATGAAAATTTTACTGCTATAAACAAGTACTGAATTCTAGTTAATGATATATGTGGTAAAGTATTTGGAGAAATTGTTCCTAATGTCTGAAATGGGATGAATGGATAGATAGCCAGTAAAGCAAGTCTAGTACTGTGCAGTGTTAACAATGAACTTGAGCTTGTGGGTCATATGGATGCTCACAGTGAAATCCTTTCAGCTTTCTGTATGTTTGGAAATTTTCATAATAAAATATTTTGGGAAAACACCTGAAAGAGATAGATGAGCTGGTGATGTAAATTAATAAAGCAGACTGGACATAACACAGTAGAGAGTGGCTGGGCCTGCAGCACTGGGATGCTTGGGCTCTGGTCTAAGCAGGCAGCTGCTACTCATTCCGTGTAGTTGTTACTTTGTGGATATCTAGCTACAGTATTGTCAGATGTTCTAATTTTTAAAAAGGAGTTTCAAATATGGAATTTTTATGTGGAAACATTTTTATTTTTAAAATACTGTATGAACCCCAAAATATTTTTAATTTACTGTCGCCAATTCCCCAAGTGTCTCGGTGTCGCAAAATGAAGAGAGGCAAGATGCGGGGAGCAGGATCAGAGGACTGCAGCTCGCTCAGGCAAACAGCAGCCTCATGATCACAACTGCAATATTTATTGAAGCTATTCAGAGCATCAGACGACAAGCATGTTTTTAGCATTTTATCTTATATCTGAAGTTATATAATATTTTGGCCAGCTGTGTTCACAAAAACAACTTTGTTTTTTACTTTGTCCTTCTAACCCCTTAAAAAACATCTTTTACTTTGTGTACATCCTCTTGGGAGATTTACAAGGGACAAACAAGAATTGCTTGCACTTCTTGTCCTGAGACGACTGGCTCGCCAGGCCCTTAGATGTCCTTATGTTTCTTCCAAGATGGATGTTCTTATGTCAAGTTCCACTACATTTCTCCCTTTTTGTTTATGGTTAGTTCATGCATCAAAATTGTGAACACAGCTGTTTTTTGTGTCTCTTTTACTTCACGGATTTGTTGTCTTCGGCAGACTAAATATAATATAAAGCATAAAATTAATATAAGCATGTCCATTCCAGTGGATCCCCCCAAAAGTCCCTTGAGTTTCCCCTATTGGATCAAGAGAGTGTAGACCATCCATCAATCCCTGTAAAATTTCTTGTCTTATTATTTCTGTTAATTTCTTATGATACGTTTGATAAATATGTCGTTGTAATTCCACAATTTAATCAGTAAGATTTCCATGATTTAATAAATGTTTCTTTACTTGTCCCCATGGAAATTTTGTTTCATTATATGCGATTGGAGTTACACAAAAGGAGGATGTATTCCAATCATATTTTAATTTTAATTGCTGTTGTAAATTTTGTATTATCTCCTATTATCAGAACAGCCTCATTTAAATCTGCTAATTGAGAAGATATTTCTATATCTATTTGCTGCTGCTGATTCCATAGCTGTTCTGAATTCTTATGCCAATTCTTCACAAAATCATGAGTTTGTACAGAAGTACTCAATGCAACTCCAGCAGTGGCAGCAGTAGCAATAATGGCTATAATACCTAAAATTACAGCTCTCAACATTCCTACAAATCTTTTTGTCTTTCTAAAATATCTTCAGCTAAAGCTTGTAGTAAAGCACTAGCAGGTGATTCTTGCCATGGCCTTGTAAGATTAACAGGAAGCCATACAGCAGCTCGAGGCCACAACAGATATATATGTTCCTGTGAAAAATTAACTGGCACAGTTATTATTCAAACAGGTAAACAATCAACAATTTTCACAAGATATTTCTCCAATCGTTTCATTCCATTTTACTTTTCTTTTTAATATCACATATGGCAGCCGGACACAGGCCCGAATATAATAGGTATTATTTTGAGTAAAGGATAGGGTAAAATTTCCTGATTCATTGGTTAAATGTCCAAACCAGGTTTTTATGGCACCAGTGGCAGCAGCCAATTTCCACAAATGGGATTGAAGTGGACCTCCATATTGATGAGGTTGAGGAGGGGAAAATCCTCCCCCATGCCATCTTATAGTATCACTGGCAACGGTAGAGATGCTGCTGTTTTCTTTATGCCATCTCAAATTAGCTCCTGCTGCCTTGGTCCGGGCAGAACCTTTAGGGCTTATGATGCTTCCGTAGGAAGTATTAATTCAAACAAGTTGTTCAGGACCGTAACAACTTGTCCATGAAACTCTTTGAGTCAAATGATCTAAAATGGGTATATGACAAGGAGGCAAATCAGGAGGACTAGAACTATTAGTATTATTGCCCTTGAAACCATAAGTAGCCATAAGAAACAGATGTCTTTTTCCACCTTTTGTATTCCAATTGGTGCCATTTTTACTTAATGCTAACCATTGTGGTGTAAGACAGTGGGGATCAGGTCCCAAGCAAATAGGAAGAGACAGTAGTATAATTAAGCATGACTTTCCCTTCTTCTGTTTTTTTGGTACTGGGGATTGAACTCGGGTCCTTGCGCTTGCAAGGCGGGCCACCGAACCGCTGAGCTAAATCCCCGGCCTTCTTCTGGTTTTAATGGGCCTCGAACACTGTAGGGACCAGGAAGCCAAGTAGTATCATTAACATATACAGTGACTGAGGGGTCCATCCATCCAATAGTTCTTAGCAATGGTGGGTTTGGAATATATGCCCAATAAGTAAAATTATTCTCTGCAGTTACCTGAGCTGACAGAAGAGCTATCATGGTGATAAACAATGGAGAAGCGGTCACAGGTTGATGCTGCTGAAGAACAATAGTTTCAGACTGATGGCAGAAGCGTTTCATTTGACCCCATGTAAGGTCTGGTGCACGATTAGTCCAAGGTCGCAGCACTCACACCTGTGTTCCTCTCCCTGTCAGTCTCAGTTTGACCATCGGGGGAGCGAGATCGTCTGGTGACAGGCGTTTGTGAGACAAGACGAGGCTTAATGTGATGAGCTGGTACCCCAAATTGCGAAGTCTCTGTCGAAATATAAGCATACCCTCGACCCCATCGCAATACCTCCGCTAACCATTGGCCTGAATGAACATCCTTATAGAAAACTGGTTGGTGCAAATCCTGAGAAGATATTTTAACCCAATGTTTTAATGCTGGGGATACATGTTCTGCATCCAGGTTTTAAAAATTTAAAGTAAATAAGGCAGAAGTAATTCTTTTCCATGGCATTATGCCATGTCCGTTTCCCCCTTTTTGTTTATATAACATTTCCTTTAGAGAACAATGTTGTCGTTCAATAATAGCTTGTCCTGTACTCTTACCTGGAATGCCAGTAACATGATGAATATTATGTAACTTAAAAAAGGTTTGACATTGCTTTGAAATTTAGGCAGATCCATTATTAGTTTTTATAGAGGAAGGTTTTCCCATAACTGCAAAAGCTTCCAATAAATGAGTCATAACTGCATCAGCCTTTTCTGAGGCCAGTGGAGTGGCCCAAGAAAAATGAGAATAGGTATCTACAGAATGGTGAATATATTTGAGTTTACCAAAGTCGGGGAATTGAGTAACATCCATTTGCCAGAGATCTTTAGGCTTTAAACCTCTGGGATTAACTCCAGAAGAAAAGGCTGGGGTATTAAGTGGATGGCAAGTAGGGCAAGAACGAGCAATAGCCTCAGCCTTTTGCCAAGTTAAACCGTATTTTGTCTTTAAAGAAAGAACATTATTATGATGTAAGGAATGTTCTTCTTGTGCCTGTAATAAAAGATATAATGCTTGATCAATGTTATGATTTCCTTTTGTTAAAGGTACCGGTAATGGTGAATGTGCACAGATATAAGTAATGAAAAATGGATGACTACGATTTCTAATTAAATTTTGGAGCGTTTTAAACAAAGCTAGGAGATCAGATGTATAATGTAAAGGAAGGACAGCAGTTTTTAAATTATTTAAAACATAAGACGCATATTGAGAATCAATCTTAATATTAAAAGGAATATGAGGAAAATCAATAAAAACTAGAGAAATAACAAATAATTCAGCCTTCTCTACAGATAAAAATGAGGAATTAAGAACTTTAGTACCCAAAGAAGAATGACATCTGGCCATTCCTAAACAATTTGCATCTGTAAAGAAGGTAACAGCATTTGAAATAGTATCCAACTTTGTAACAGTGGGCAGTATCCAAGTAGTCCGTTTTAAAAATTGTTATCTTTTATTGGCAGGATAATGATTATCTAAAACACCTAAATAATCAGCCAAAGCTATCTTCCAATCTAAAGAAGAATGAAAAAGATCTTTAGTTTGAGAATTGGTTAATGGCACTATAATAGAGGAAGGATCATGACCCACTAATTGATGAAGTCGTAAACAACCTTGATGGATAATGGCAGATAATTTAGAAACATAAGTGGGAATATTTTTAGAAGTTTTATTCGGAAGAAAAATCCATTCAATAAAAGATTAATAATCCTGTAGGAGAATGTTCAGAAGGAAAAATATAAAGAATAAAATTATTATCAAAAGTAATTCTTTGTAATTGCCTTGACTGAATATGCTGTTCAAGCCACACAAGTTCTTTTTCAGCCTCAGCAATCAAAGACCTGGGACTATTTAAATCTGGGTTTCCTTCTAAAAATAGAGAATAAATTTGACAATGCATAAGTAGGAATACCTAAAGAAGGATACACCCAATTTATATCTCCCAATAATTTTTGAAAATCATTAAGAGTTTTAAGAGTATCTCTTCGAATTTGTATTTTCTGTGGAACTATTTGTTGAGCATACATTTTATGTCCTAAATATTGCCAAGGAGCTTCTGTTTGAATCTTTTTTGGTGTGACAAGAAGACCAAATGTATTTAACATATTAATAGCATCTTCCACTAAAACCTTAAGTATAGAGGAATCAGAATGAGCAGATAAAATATCATCCATATAATGATAGCAAATACTTTGAGGATATTTAGAATGAATATATTCAAGAGGTTGATTAACAAAATATTGACATAAGGTAGGGCTATTTAACATCCCCTGCAGCAAAAACAGTCCAATGATATTGTTAAGTGGGCTGAGCATTATTGAGGGAAGGAATTGTAAAAGCAAAACGAACAGCATCCTGTGAACGAAGAGGTATAGTAAAGAAACAATCTTTTAAATCAATAATAGTAATAGGCCAATTAGTCAGAATAATAGAGGGATTAATAATGCCAGATTGTAAAGGTCTATAGGTTGAATAATAGAAGTAATTTTTCTGAGATCAGTTAGCATATGCCATTTTCCTGATTTCTTTTTAATCACAAACACAGGTGAATTCCAGGGACTTCTTGTCTCTACTATATGTCCCTTTTGTAGTTGTTCTTGAAGTAGTTCTTGAAGAGTAAGTAATTTTTCTTTAGTTAAGGGCCACTGCTCTACCCGTATGGAATTATTTGAAATCCATGTTAAAGGTAAGGCTTGAGGAACAGTGGCCCTTTGGATAAATCCTGTTCAAGTACAGGATATCCTAAGCCTCTTCTTTGAGATGTCACCTTAGTATGAGGATGATTGGAAATAGGTTGAGAGGAATCAAACCCCATATCAAGCATTAATTTTTTTGCTGTTGATGAAATTGTGGGAATTGATATTAGTGCTCCCCATTGCTCTAACAAGTCTCTTCCCCATAGATTAATAGCTATATCTTGCAAAACACCCAAACCAGTAAAAGTAGCATCCACTCTCTGTTTTGGCCAATTAAGAGGCCAATAATGAGAGGCTATGATAGAAACATCAGCTCCAGTGTCTACAAGACCTTCCAGTATAACATTGTGAGGAAACTTTAATTTTACTGTAGGCCTGGAATCATTAATGAAAGTTTGCCAAAGCACATAATGCCCAGTGCTGCCAAAACCTCCTGTACGAGCGATAGGAGCAGCCTTTTGATGTTTATAGGGTAATAAGAGTAACTGCCCCTCGATGTCCTTGACTCAACTTTATTTCTACAGACAAAGAAGCCATTATTTGAATCTCATCCTGATAATCTTCATCAATTATTCCTATATGAACTTGAAGTCCTTGACAAGTCAAGCTACTTCGCCCTAACAATAAACCCACAGTCCCTGATGGTAAAGGACCATACACACCAGCCTCATTGGTAATTGAGAAGGTTTAATTATATAATCTTTCACAGTGGGCAAATCAAGAGCTGCACTTTTACTCGTGGCATGTGCTAAATCAGAGACTAATAAATGTTTTAATTCAGAGCTTGGCACGGCTCATAATCACACTGAGCGTGCATGACTCCATTGTTCACTGGGTATTATTGAGAAAGGCTGGGTTTTGATAAGGGGCCACGAGACCCCCCACCTTTCCCAGGGTCGGTAAAGGATTGCCATTCTTATCTCTGGTTGATCTTCATTCATTAGTCCCATGCAGACCTTTTCCACACCTCTTATAAGGTCCTGGTGGAAGGGAAGGCTTAGAGGGTTTGACATTTTGACCTTTCCGGCAATCTTTCTTTAAATGACCTGTCCGTCCACAATTATAACACTTTGGAGGTCTCTGGGCAGTTTTTAATCCATCTGCCACTAAATTCGCACCATTAACCTGAGAGCCAATTTCTCGACACTGTCTGATATAGAATCTTCCACTGTAACCCTGGGTTGGCTCTTAATAGGCAATAGTGCCTTTTTACAAGCTACATTAGCATTTTCAAAAGCCATTGTTAATAATAAAATATTTTGAGCCTCCTCCCCATTTACTTCTCTTTTGATGGCCTTATATAGGCGGGCTAAGAAATTAGTGAATGGTTCATTTGGACCCTGTAAAATTTTTGTAAAAAGAGTCTCAGATTGCCCTTCATCTTCCAATTTTTCCCATGCTTTCATACAGACTGTTCTCAATTGAGTAATAGCATTATCATTAAGTCTGGCTTGCTGAGCAAGCGCCTGAAACACGCCGATACCTGTAAGTTGTTCAGAAGCAGGTACATTGCCATTTCTCAAGCTTTGATCATTGGCCTCCTCTCTCCACCACGATTTAAATTGTAAATATTGTCAAGATGATAAGATAGTTTTAGCTATGAGATCCCAATCTAAAGGTATGAGTAGTTTTCTGTAGCATAAGCTCCTAAAACTCCTCTCACATAATTATAAACGGCCTCTTTCAAAAGTTTCAATACCTTCATATCCACTTGAGTATGTTGTACATTAATATATCCTTGAGGAAACTGAGCATTAGGAGACCCATTTCGTCTTATGATAGGAAATAGTAAAGGATCAGAAAAATCATTGCCTGTTAGTGGTTCCTTTTCTCCCTCAGCTGACCATAAAATATTGTGCAGACGAACAGGAAATTTAAAAGAAGCTCCAGCTGGAGGCTCTGGAGGAGCCCTGGGAACCATAGGAGGAGAGAGATAGGATCCCATACCTCCTTTTGTGCCGGATACATTTCTAGCGGCATAATTTTACAGCATTTTTCCAATAATTTTTGCAATTGAGTGATTTTATCACGCCTCAAAGAGATCTCGTCTTCCTCCTCCGAAGAGGATGACGAAGAATCAGAAGCAGAATCAGAAGAAGGGCGGTCCTCGTCATCAACGACCTCATAATCACTCTGTTTACATTCAGAATGCAAAGGCTGTGACTGCAGGGAGAGGCAAAGGAGATGGCAGAATACGACTTTCACTTTCTGCCTCCTGGTTAATTTGCTCAGAAGAGGAAGCGGATTGCAATGGTTCTAAAGCTAAAGCAACAGCTTGAAAAGCTCGCCACAAGTTGGCATCTGTGGGCTCATGCTGATGAGCGCACCCCCAAGCTCAACCCACTTGCTGCCAAACCTTGAGATTTAATTGATTTTTAGGCGAGGGATCAAACCAATAACAATGCCTTCTAATTTGCTCACGAAGAGATCGCAGATATTTTTCTTTAACTTTCAAATTTACACTTTGCAATAATGCTTGCATCAACGAGAGATACTGACTCTCCTTAGATGGGGAATGCCCCGTGACTCCAATCCCAAATTCCCCAGCGTTTCGCGTACTACTGCGCAGAGCAATTCCACTCGGTCTTGCAACTCCCTTACCTTTGAGTCCCTGAGTCTTCAAGTCCTCAGGTCCCTGTTCTTGTTGAGGTCTCCTTCTAGAGGAGACACGGAGAGCTGCTGAGTCCCTGTTGGGGCGCCAAATGTCGCTGATTCCCCGAGTGTCTCGGTGTCGGTGTTGCAAAATGAGAGGCAAGAAGTGGGGAACAGGATCAGAGGACTGCAGCTCGCTCAGGCAAACAGCAGCCTCATGATCACAGCTGCAGTATTTATTGAAGCTGTTCAGAGCATCAGACGACAAGCATGTTTTTAGCATTTTATCTTATATCTGAAGTTATGTAATATGTTGGCCAGCTGTGTTCACAAAAACAACTTTGTTTTTTACTTTGTCCTTCTAACCCCTTAAAAAACATCTTTTACTTTGTGTACATCCTCTTGGGAGATTTACAAGGGATAAACAAGAATTGCTTGCATTTCTTGTCCTGAGATGACCGGCTTGCCAGGCACTCAGATGTCCTTATGTTTCTTCCAAGATGGATGCTCTTATGTCAAGTTCCACTACAATTTACCAATTGTTTTTCTATGTAAAAGATTTCAATCTTAACGAAGAAATTGGGGGAATTCTTTTGAGTTACAAAGTCACCATTGTATCACTGACACGTGACTTTAAAGACTGGAGCTATAGCTTTGATCTTATGCTACTAGTAACCTCAGTTCCCCTGTTGTGTGGGCTGCTCTACAATAATGTTCCCTGCCAGGGCCATGCCACAGTGTTCATGACACTGACCCAACCAGGACTTTGCTGTGGGTCAGGGAACAGCTGTGAGGTAGTGCTGGTTGGCATTGATTTCTCTGGCCTCACTTTAGGGTCATTTGATATGGAAAGAGTGGCAGCAGTACATGCTAGTTTGCTGCTCAGATATAGTTCCTGGATGTAAGTCACTTAGGCTCTAAGAGAAATTAGCACTAGGTGGGGATCAGAAACAGAAAAGACTTCCTTATATTCTCTGTTTTGGCTAGGTGGCATCATAATCCAACCAGGACCCTAAGCTCTTAAAAATCTCTGCACTATCCTCTCTTGCCAGTGGCATTCTAATGAATCACTGTTCTGTCCATCTACCTCTGGAGGGCTTCTCAAATCTATCTCCTCCCCAGTGTCTCCCTGCCAGTACCTTATTTCAAGACCTCATCCTCTCTAGCCTGGGTGAGTTTCCAAAGTGGTGTCTTTGTCATGATTTCTTCCTGCCAGCAGTTCAATCTTCATATTTCCACTGCAGTTATCATTCTCAGGTATAATTCTGATATTATCACTCTCTGGGTTAAAAACCTCTGCACCCCCTCATTGCCTACAGGATGAAGGTAAAGCTATCATGGGATGGGACTTTTGTAGCATCAGCCTCTCTGTTTCCCATTAGCTTGTAAGGTAAAAGTACAAACTTCTCAGTCTGGCAGTTAAGGACCTACTTAGAAGCCCATGTACACCTCCACCACATCTGAGTACAAGAATACCAAATTCTTGCCATTTTGAGAAACTGTTATTTTTTTTTTCCCGTGCTCCAGACCTGAATATATTGCTATTCTTTTTGCTTCAGATCACTTTTATCAGTATTTCTTCAGTAGCTAACTTCTTTATAATAGGTAGGTTATGTACATTCTGAGAACTGTTTCCTATTACTCCCAGAAGAAATAGTGGCTTGTTGCTCTATACTATAGCACTTTGTTCTTACTCTTATTAAATATTGGAGTGAGATCTCTGCTGCTTTATCATTTCATTCTCTTCTTACCACTAAATATAATGCCTTACAATTTTTTATTTCTATATCTTTTACTAAGAACTATGTCTGATGTAGTTTAGAATTTTGGTAAGTTTATTTGTTCCATGATTACATGAAAAGGTACTTTTAGTCAGGGAATACTGATTCTGAGACAAGTTCTTAACCTTTTGTTTGGTAATGTGAGGCAGTATAGGATCTAAAATTAAATCTGTCTTCTTGGGCTTTCTGCTCATGATAACAATAGGCTCGATGGACCTCTCTGCAGCCAGTGACTCTGTTATGTTAAAACCTGGTCTTTAGCCCCCGAACTTCTTTACCTGTTATAGGAATCAGTGATAGAAGTCCTGATCTCTTTCCTTTTCTCTAATCTTAACTTAAATTCACTTCTTTCTCTTATTATTTAAACTTGACTGTGGTCTGTTTCCATCTTCCAGAATTCACATAGAGTTTATTTTATGTTTGAGTGCATAATTATTGCATTACCTTGCTAACTCTTAGAGACCATGCAAGGGTAATAATAATAAATAGCAACTAACATTTACATATCATTTAACACTATGTGCCTGGAACTCATTGTTTTTATAAACATTAGCTCATCCAGTGCTAACTGTAACCCCATGGCATAGATACAGTGATTACATGATAATTTTACAGACAAGGAAGCTGAAGCATACAAAGATGACTTGTTCTAAGAACACAAAACTATTGGCTGGGGGATGTAGCTCAGTGGTTCTGCCACCTGCCTCACGAGTGCAAGGTCTGGAGTTTGATCCCTGGTACAAAAAAAAAAAAAAAAAAAAAAAAAAAAAAATCCGTAGAACACAGAACTATCAACTGGTAGTTGAAATCTTGTTTCATGGTCTGTGCTCTTAAACTAGCATTCTTCTATGGGGTAGGGTTGCATAACTGCTTTCTCTATTATCTTTTGCCATATAGGACTGTACATAGGATAGGGGCGGCATGACAGTGTTATGGGCTAGTATATTACTTTGTGGCTTGCACTCCTTACCCACCTCAGGTTCCAGAATTGCTTTCCTTCTTTCCTGAGAATTACTTGATAGTCATGGAGTGTTGCTCGTGATGTAGCTTTCAGGCTGTACTCTTGTGGCTTATGAAACACTTGTTTATGGGCACAGAGTGATCTGGAGTTAAATAGAAAACTCCCTCTCCATGGAACAGCAATTTACTCTACATGCCAAGTTGGCAGCAGTGTAGACCTTGGCAGGGGGAATGTGCTGTGGTTAAGACAGGTAGCCAAGATATGAGGGAGATTTCTAATCCAGACTCATCCTAATAAACAGTGGTCGCCAAAGTACTTTAGGGGGATCTTTGTGCTTTACATCTAGCCTAGTTAAGAGTGACCAGCTCAATTGTAGCAGTTGGCCATATTCCTCACATGAAACTTTTGGAGGGCTAGACTATTATCAAATTACTCTATATATGTTAAAGTTAAGTTATTTTTAGGGAGATGGTATCAGGTATTAAAAATGTTCCATGAGCCACATGGTGTTTTGACCCTGGCTTATAACTCTATTTTGGTAGGGAAAAAGCATTTCGGTGGCTTTGCAACTGAAAACAATGCTTTAAATAAGTTATTTAACTTTTCTGGGCTAAATTTCTCCACCTTTAAAATGAAAAATCCTAATGCTTATTACGCCACTGTTACATACGTCCCTCCTTTTACAGCTTAGATATAGTAGACACTTTTTCAAGGAACTTCTCTGATCAGTTTACAGGAAACCATTCCATTTCTTAGCGTTCAGTTCTTATGTGCAGAATTTATAGTAAGGTAACTTCAGCAAAGCTTTTCCTTCATGTATAAGTATCATTTCTTTGACCCTAGAGAAAGTTGTATTGAGATTTTTTTAATGAGTCTCATTTATTCTTTAGAATTAGGATTATCAATAAGTATCAAAGAAGACATTTGGAGATTGGAACTATACATCTTCTATGTGGTAAACTATGAGCTTTGAGAAGATGCTTTCATTTTCCGGGCCTTTCTTCATGTTCTTTCTTCTTTAAAAATCTGCCTCTTAGTCAATATGATACTTGCTCTTAATTGAAGGAAGATGTTTCTGGTCCCAGCTTGTAAATATTTTCAGTCTTGGGTAGTAAGCTAGTTTACTGAGAACAAAAAACTTAATCAGTATGACACTCTATGGAAAATTCGTTACTTCTGTCTACATTGGCTATCTCTGTTGAAAGGCTACAGATCTGTGTCCAGAGCCTGCTTGACCACTGAGTGCAAAATCAGGTATAGTTCCCATCCTCCAGGAGCCAAACTGTCTTTGCCAGTGGGGTTGTGAGTCTTTCACATATGGCTGACAGTTGCTGTGGTCACTTGTCATGTTGGAGCAGATTGCTCTTGGAGTTCTCACTTACACAGTAGTCACACTATGTCATAGTTGAAATGGAGAGACAGGCACTTGGAAGGATTGAGTCAAGCACAGATCAGTCAGTCTTAATGACTAATGTACTAATAAAGCCTTCTCATAGTGCTGATCTGCTGATGATGGAGATTCTCAAGTTTATTAACTCCTTTATCACCTTTAATTTACTTGTATAATTTTTTTGGCATATGATCAGGCTACCTAGTTGGAGCAGGGGAACTTTGAGCTTAGAAATGCTGGTTTTCCCAGAGAACTTATCAGTCAGTACTGCTACCCCAATTTAGTTTCTGTCCTCAGCCAGAACATCTTTAGCAAAATGACAAATGGGAGGACTGTAGTTAGATCTTTCAGGGCTTTCCGAGGAGTGAGGACATGCCATACTTTCTAGGTTCAACTCCTTGTTCTATGTCACTAATTGTTTCTTGTGTATTCTATAACAAATTATGACAAACACGGTAGCTTTCAACAACAGGGAATCATTCTCTCCATGCCCAGAAGCCAGAAGTCTGAAATCAAGGTCTTAGTAGCACAGTACTCCCCCTGGAGTGTATCACGTCTGTACCATGTCTTGCTTTATCCAATCATCTGTCACTGTGCTCTTGAATTGCTCCCACGTGTAGCTATTGTGAACAAGGTGGCTATAACGTGGGTGTATAAATATCTCTGTGAGATTCTGCTTTAAATTCTTTTGAATATATGCCCCAAGTTCTATTTTTGAATAGAATAGAAATGCTAATTATATTTTTTATTATTTTAAAGAACTACCATACTGTTTTCCAGAGGCTTTATCATTTTATGTTATGTTTTAACTTCTGTTCATTCTTGTGCTCACTTCAGTTGCACTTATATTAATTTCTCTACATTCTTTTTTTTTTTCTTTCTTTTTATTGAGGTTATTGGTACAATCTAGGTATACAATACAATTACATTCATCCTTGGGATTCTGTACCTTTACATAATAGGTCTTGATTCTCATTTTTCCCCTTGTCCCTGCTCTCCCTCCACCCCCTCCTCCCCTCCCCATTTACAAACACTTTATTTCCATTTTTTCAGTTTCTCATTTTTTCCTCTCCCTTATTACCTTTCCCACACCCTTCCCACTTTCCTTACACCTTTAGCCCTTTACTTCCTTTATTTCACATTATTAATTGTCTCATTAGGATCCTGTGTACTATTATAGTTTTTCACACCAAAGAAACTATTTGGTATTTCAGTTAAAGAAATCTCTGTATGAACATTAAAAATAGGGAATCCTAAAATAAAACTAAAAGGAAAGTAAA